TTTGCTTCAATTCTGGTTAAATCTTCATGAGCGCTGTCATTTACCTGGAAAAGTTGTCCGATCGCAATAGCGACTCTGCATTTAGTATCTAGGTGTAACTGTCGGGAATGAATATTGTAACTGGGTCATATGACCTGAAAAAGGTACTAAACTTGAACGAGGTTTCTGGTGTATTCGACTTTATACGGTACAGTTATGGCATACTATCACATAGGACGAGAGATGTCCTTAGCTAGAGTCCGGTGGTCTAATGTCGAATTGAGCTCTATCAATATATGAAATTTTGCTCCAGTGCTAGACCATACAAGAAAAAGGGTTTTCCATTATTTATGAGTTGGTACATCTGGCCGTGGGGACAGGTCCATGCCGTGCTCAAACATTCAATCTGTTGCGAGCTAATCATTGCCGTGTAGTCTGGTGGCCATTTGTTACCAGTCACGGTGAACGGCATTCGAATCTCCGCCGATAACTGTCCCAAATGAAAGGTTAAATGGTGCAGTGGTACTTCATTCGGGCCGTTCTCCTAAGTGTGAGTGTTTGTTGTACCACTTGAGTCTATGACTATCTAGCACATTGGGCTCCTCTCTGGCCCAGACCACACCTTGTACAATGCTCCTTGCCTCTTTTGTTCCTTGAAAGATCATTGATATATTCCCCTGATGAATAGCCATTCAGCTCAGTGTTTACCTGTGGAATTCGGCCACCTTTTCCACGGGACCTTCTACACAAGAAAAAAATGGTAGCAATGGAAACTGCGTGCACGGGAAAAAGTCTCAAAAAACCTGCAGCCCCAGCCAGGCGAGGCCTAGACACCGGGACCACACGAGGTGCGCATATTCATCTATATCTCCCTTCTTTGTAACAGTCGAGGTCGACTTGATCCAATCCGCCATCTCCGTATCGGGTGCTGGGTACGCTCCGGAAACTCACCGGATGGCTTCTCCATGATCAAGGATAGGTGATGACTAGGGCTCCGACCCTACCATCTGATCTGATCGTGGTTAGCTTCACGATAATGGTGATTGGAGGATATGTTGAGAGATGAAGACGATACAGACCGCGAATGCGATTGGGAATCCTTATCAAAGTGAGGACTGTTTTACTCAGTCTCGGCTCTACAGAGTCCACAGTGAGAGCTGGAGCTTCGTAGGGGACACCACTAATGGGTATCGAGAATAGTCCCCCTTCTCTGTGCAGTCTTAGGTAGTGGATAATGCCTTAAGCTCATCACAAAGAAGCCATCCTGGCTGGTGTTGGACTCAGTGTTATCCTTACAAGTATTAATACATAAGTCAGTCTTCCGCTCGTGGAAATTGTTGGTGAGAGAAGCTTGGGTATTTACAAACGATTAAAGAATTAGAATTCGACTTCTCTCCTGAACACAGGTACCAGGGGGCAAAAACTCAGCATATATGAGCTGTCTCCCCTGCGAACCTTCAGCTCTGACTGAAGACCAGGGATTGGCCCATATCCTTCCAGACTCGAGCATTACTAACTACCCTCCCTAAAAGATACGTATTTGATAATACCTGCGACGATCAAGACGCATGGCAAGATTTAACACTTGTACGCGGTGTCCTCTACGAACCTGGGGGTGAAATATTCTCCCAGAGCCAAGTTCAGTCAAATTTCGCAATACCGAACAAGTTGGCCTACGAGGCAATGATTCAAAATACTCCACCACGTCGTTTTTTCGCTCCCAACGAGTTTGACTCCTATCTAAGCCTCATCAAGTCTACAAGTACGGCCTAGTACATCCTCATCCCAATGACCACACCTCTCTTCGACTTTCTCTGGCCTCAGCTGGTCGCCAGATACACGCCCACGCCAATATTTATACCCGATGGAGGACACAAAGCGTGGCGCACAAATCTGGGATATAATTCTTTGGGATGGACGTGAGAGGGATCAGGACAAGTTCACAAGATGATGCAAAGGATGGATACATTCTCGACGGGCGTGAAATTTCGAATTTTGGCAAGGGATTCCATAAATTGAGCTTTGTGTGCACCAAGACTTTGCTTGCGAGAGTGCAGCTGACACTATAAAAACAAGCAAACGATGGAAGGCACAGTGGTCCACCTCATGGCGGTGTTCTCTGATATAGTTTGGGTAGCCTGGGCACCTACTCCGCTTGGGAAGGAGACATCTCAGATTACATTTCGCGCGGAGAAAAGTTGATGGATGATGGAGGCATGTCTGGACAACTCAGGGTTTTTGAAACGTTTCCCTGGGTGAGTATTCACAGATGAGGGTTGACTTGGGGTGAAGAAAAAGCCGCCATAACTTCGCAGTGGTGCCTGCAAATGAAATTCGAGGCATGAGTTCTCCTCTTGTAAATTGAGTCATCTTTTCTGTACATTTCTTTGATAATTTGTCATAGCTAGATAGCTGCATACGCAATTAAAATCTGATTCAAAAAAAAAAGAGTTTTGATATGATATTGTTAATATCGTGACCGGGGACCACTCCGGCATCTAGAGGGCAAGGCACGGCGTTATGAGCTTTGAATACTTAACTAAGCTACTTAACGGTCTTTACTCTCCCACAAGACTTTCCTGGAATGGGCGAGAAGCGCGGGATCCGAACCAAACAGTATTTCTTCAAAATTTGATTTCAGTTTTTGATTTATGTTTTTGATTTTAGTTTTGCTGTTAACTTCTACAATTTCAGTAGAAGTTCATGCGGTTGGAATGAGTTGGGCCTGTACGCAGTGATCCTTGCCGGCTCCACCGGTCCTTGACCCAACGTGTAAAATATAGCTTTAGCTTAGAACCAAAAAAAGACTTTCCTGATATCATTTGACAACCTTTGGTTTGTCCGACGGCACTAATCAGGGAAAGAGTAATGGAGAGAAGCCGTAAGGGCTACACAAGTCTGCCGTACCCGACTGTTTGGCTTCTTCCGACGCTTCAGCAGGAAAGTGTGTGTTGGGATTTGTTCCTGATGTCAGTATTTCAAGAGTCCCACACCCATTGGTTTTCGAGAATTTTCCTTGCAGCTTCACACTCACAAACGCCCCTTAAACAACTGACGAAGATGAGAGATCAATGATAGGATAGTAGCTTCTCTTAGTATGTACTCATATCAAAACCTATGAGGTCAATATGACTGGAAAGAATCCTTGAAGGAGGCATAATTATTCCTAGCCTGTAGGCTGAAAGCACATACATGACTGAGTATTCACAGAATTTTTAGCACAATAATCATAATAAAACTTCGTCCCCCTGTTTGGTATGTTCCACACATTCTATATTGTCTTAGATGTATAGCCCTTAATGCTACATATTTTTAGCATGTTTTATGTGAAGGCTGATGCAAATGAAATTTGACAGTCTAGATTTACGCGCGACTGTTGCATCCATGGAATCTAATTTAAATGAGTTACAGCTCCCTCCTCTGTTTTTCTTTGAATCAGATTTTAATTGCGTATGCAGCTATCTAGCTATGACAAATTATCAAAGAAATGTACAGAAAAGATGACTCAATTTACAAGAGGAGAACTCATGCCTCGAATTTCATTTGCAGGCACCACTGCGAAGTTATGGCGGCTTTTTCTTCACCCCAAGTCAACCCTCATCTGTGAATACTCACCCAGGGAAACGTTTCAAAAACCCTGAGTTGTCCAGACATGCCTCCATCATCCATCAACTTTTCTCCGCGCGAAATGTAATCTGAGATGTCTCCTTCCCAAGCGGAGTAGGTGCCCAGGCTACCCAAACTATATCAGAGAACACCGCCATGAGGTGGACCACTGTGCCTTCCATCGTTTGCTTGTTTTTATAGTGTCAGCTGCACTCTCGCAAGCAAAGTCTTGGTGCACACAAAGCTCAATTTATGGAATCCCTTGCCAAAATTCGAAATTTCACGCCCGTCGAGAATGTATCCATCCTTTGCATCATCTTGTGAACTTGTCCTGATCCCTCTCACGTCCATCCCAAAGAATTATATCCCAGATTTGTGCGCCACGCTTTGTGTCCTCCATCGGGTATAAATATTGGCGTGGGCGTGTATCTGGCGACCAGCTGAGGCCAGAGAAAGTCGAAGAGAGGTGTGGTCATTGGGATGAGGATGTACTAGGCCGTACTTGTAGACTTGATGAGGCTTAGATAGGAGTCAAACTCGTTGGGAGCGAAAAAACGACGTGGTGGAGTATTTTGAATCATTGCCTCGTAGGCCAACTTGTTCGGTATTGCGAAATTTGACTGAACTTGGCTCTGGGAGAATATTTCACCCCCAGGTTCGTAGAGGACATCGCGTCTAGGTGCTCAGTCTTGCCCTCCGCTCCCTCGAGTTGTGGTAGCGGCAATGTCTTTGTAAATTAATTCTGGCCCCTTGGGATACAACATGTCGCAGGTTAGGAGTGATAGTATTGTGATAAAAGGGGTTCTCAGCCCTGATTGCCCTTAGATAGAGCGGATTTTGAAACGTGAGATAGGCGTGTAACATGCTTAGACCTGCCCGTCTCCCGTCGATCCGCGTTTCTTTACCCTTGGCGAAATCTCCTGTATGCGGGTCATACATCTCTATGAAGAGCCCGAGTCTCCACTTGCAAGGTAAGAGAGGTCGATGACGGTTTCGATGATTGCTTCAGCGATGTTACACATGATTCATGTGTAAATTTCATTTTCTAAAGTTGAACAACTCAGGAGTCTTAACCGAAAATAAATTACTACTCTGAATGGTAGGGCGGATCAATGGTTGTTAGTGCTCCACGATATCTACTACAGGCTAATATCTACATTGTTAAAATACGATCGAGACACGGACATATCTGTTTTTATAACTACGTAACAAAGCAATTTACAAGTACTTTGAAGTATGAATAGTGTTGATGCGGTCAAGTAAGACTTCGACTTCTTTGGAAATAACTGTTGGATCATCCATGCCTGAATAATCTTTAATATTGAAATAATTGTAGGGTCAAATGATGTAACATTAAGCCAGGCAGAGTACTATCAGCCAATTCATAATATTTAGATCCAAAAATTATAGTTCCCTTAAGCCTCTTCTGGAGAAAATTTGATGCTGATACTATTCACACAATGCCTCTCGTCTGTTGGCGTATTGTATCTTTCTCCCTTAAAGACATGGCCAAGATGACCACCACAATTAGCGCACAAAATCTCCGTTCGTGACATCCCTAGTGTATTATCTGTACGTCGAATAACAGAGCCAGGAATGCTGTCAAAGTACGCTGGCCATCCACAACTTGACTTAAATTTGTGGGTTGCTTTGTAGAGTGGCGCATCACAGCCAGCACAATTATATACGCCTTCGTTAGGCATATGCTCATTGTATTTTCCGGCAAATGGAGCTTCGGTACCTTGTTTTCTCAACACACGGAATTGTTCTAGGTTGCCTGAGTAAAGAATCAAGAGTAAAATAAATTGTGCCCACCTTTGTTAAGTATGGCTCGCCATTCATCCTCACTTTTATCAACCGGAAATGACATTTTGGGATTAGCAGTAGAGTTGAAAAGTCGAGAAAGAAACTGTGACATAGCTATAGGTTTACGGACCGATAACCTATCAGGGATTAGATAAACGTTAGACGAAATATGGAACAGAAGCAACCGAATGGGGCTGGCGCGTGTGCTTACGAGGCAAAACATGCGCATGGATAATTGGCAATAAATATGGCTAGAATTCGGAGGAGTTGATAATCATATTTGGGGGAATTGGGTGGCGTAGACCGGCAAACTTCTGCAGAAAGCGCAATCTATCTTGCTCTTTACAACCCTGAATAATACCGAGTAGGTATAGTGTTTATCTTTTGAAATGATGGTGTGTGACTAGCAGGTCATGCTCATCCTCCATAAACCCAGATACCCCCTCCAGTCCAAGCGCGGGACCTCATGTAGCAGAGTTGATTCACGAGCAGCGAGTAGAATCAAGTGACCACCTAGCTCCTTACCTAACTCCTTGAAATAAACAAGCTCTTTATAAAGTTATCAACCTTGAATTACTACCCACGATAATGCGCAGGCCATCTTAAAGTTCAATCATGTCACGAAGAACGCCGAATCCAGCTGCAGAGCGGGCTGCTCAGAATGCCCAAACGATCAAGAGTCTCTTAAAATTAGAGGGTAATAAAATATGTGCCGACTGCAAAAGGAACAAGCGTAAAGTATCCCAATAAACTGTTTTTTGATACCAGCTAAAATGTTCAAGACCCGAGATGGGCTTCTTGGAACCTTGGGATTTTCATTTGCATAAGATGCTCTGGCATTCATCGAGGTATGGGAACGCATATAAGTCGGGTCAAGTCCGTTGATCTCGATGCATGGACAAATGAGCAACTAGAAAGTGTCTTGAAATGGGGAAACTCGAGAGCGAATAAGTACTGGGAATCGAAGCTTGCTGCTGGTCATGTCCCATCTGACTCCAAGATTGAAAACTTCATCCGGACTAAGTACGAAACGAAAAGGTGGGTAATGGAAGGACCAATTCCAGATCCATCTGCTCTTGAGGCAGATGAAGATGAGGATGTGCCATTGAGGCTTATTAAAGAAAAGCAAGATATCGAACGCTCGACTCTGCAGGCGGCCGGACCTCCACAGAACAGAGGAGCTTCGCAGATTAAAAGGGCTCAACAGTCTGATCTACTTGAGAAGGATGTTAACCAATCTCTTGAAGTAAACATAAGTCACCAAAATCCAATAGGAACACCACCTAAGCCCAACCCTATCCCAAAGCAAACTAAGCCAGCAGATTCGCTCTTAGGATTAGAGTTTTTTGGGAGCGACTCCCCTCCCACAGCTCGTCCCTCCAGTGCAGTACAGACACCTGGCACACAGTCCCGCCCCGACTTAAAACAGTCAATACTTTCCCTTTACGCTACCGCTCCTCGGGCTCAACCATCTCCTAACCCTGCTGCAATGGCAACTCCACTTCATTCACCCGCTCAGAGAACCTCTTTTGGTGCTATGAGTGATGCTTTTGGCTCATTAAGTTTTGCCCCCCAGAAATCACCTGCTATGGCCACAACGACCGCCACAAATATGTCTGCAAAACCATCACAAAAACCTTCTGCTTTCTCTAATCTAGGAAATATTCCCAACCAAAATATTTCTAATCATGCATCGGCCTCAACGTTTAACGGAGGAAACTTCTTCAATGTGAATCCTGTGGTACAATCTACAACACAACTGTCATCTGACTTTAGCTCGATATCTAATTTTTCTGCGTTTGATACAGGGCCAGTATCTCCTCCCGCAAATCGAGCTTCAAAAACCATGGACCTTTCAATTGGAGAAGTGCTCAGCTTCACTTCACAGACTCCTCAAACCTCTACCCCAAGTACGGCTATTTCTTCACCATTACCTCAGCAAAAGTCTGTATTTAATCTTTCCCAGACTTCACCCCGAAAGAACATCCAGTCCCCTACCACAAACAGTACTGTATGGTCTACTAGTGATGCTTGGGCAAGCAGTGAAACTTGGGGTAGCGCCTCTAAGCCGAGTCCTAAAGAACAGATAGGCTCTATAGTATCGAGCACAGATGGATGGGGATCGTCTGGCGATGTAAACACAACCCATGAAGGTGTTGGTAATAATCAAAATAGCGGAAAAGCGCCTCCTGTAATTAGTACTGACGAAGAATTCGGAGGTTGGAGCAGTGCCGCATTAGCCGCGCCCATGAGCAATGCCTTACCGCCTAAACCGGCTGCTAGTTTTGCTGTTAGTGACGATCTTTTTTCAAACGTCTGGGGATAAAGTATGACGGTCTGTAGGAGATTTTGCAGGTGAAATCAAGAATCTAGCAGCATGATTAAGTAAATGAATTATAATTAAATAGTCTATTCCGTAGACCCTCTAGTGCTAGGCTAGTACTAAACGTACTGGGCCATAATCCGAAGCAAGAATGAATTCCCTGATGTGTGATGATTATTGTTCTATATAGACTTGTAGCTTTTCTTATCGCTGATTAAACAAACAATCTCCAAATAAACCATAAAACTAAAAATCCTCCTATCAGAATTCCAGATAGCCTGAGTACGGCAATTTTATTTCCAGCAGCGGCCATTCTCCCTAGTCGACCAGCAGAGCCCTTCAGGTTTGAGCTCATAGAAGAAAATGTATTTGACTGTGCATGGCGTCAGTATTTTAGATCTCAGATTTGAGAGTGTTGACAGGATACCCACAGTATGATCTATTACGTCCTGTGCCCTTGCATTATCATAAATGTCAACTGTAACTCCTCGAAGAGCTGTCACCTTTGCCGATAGCTCCGAGAGTCGCGAACTGTTTTGACGCTCGCGCTCGTATGCTTCCGACATTCCTTCAACTATGGGAAGATACGGCAAGTAAGAAGCACGACGCAACTAGTCGTATTCGAGGTATTTCGTGTTGTGCGATAGTTTTTTGGAGAAAATGTGCAAACACAGCTGGCTGATTGGCGTTGACTACAACCTCTAGAAAGTTATTTGCCACACCCCCCCGTGACATCTCGCATCGTCCAAGCTTAGCTTTCTGTTCATTCCAATTCACAGCGGAGATAGTGAGAGATTTTAAACGGCGTTTCTCATCTGATGGCAAAGTTGGCTCAGTAATAACCCAGTCTAGTTTTACTCTGGGTTGGTTCAGGGCCTTTGTTGAAGTTGCAATCCTTACTACTGGATTGCATGATTGAATGGTTAGCTCCCGCCCTACTTCGCTTACTACGACTGTCTCAGCCTCATGAAATTGCACTTTGGGCGTCAGTAGCACTGGGCCCACCCTCAAACCGCAAGCCTTGCGCGGCGCATACGTGGACTCACTAATTTCCAGGAAAAATTTTCTCCGTGGGACTAGAAACTTTGGTGTGTGTGTGTGTTGTCTTGAGAAACAAATGACTGGAGGTTTTTCTCACTGTCAGTCCTCAAGATTATTGCAGGATCCTTTCATTTTATTTCAATGACTTGTCAACTTCGGCAATACTTGCATATTAATCGTACGATATATGACATAATATAATCGCGAGCAAGACAAGGGTCTTATGGTCTAGAGGTATGATTCTCGCTTAGGGTAACACCCGTAAGCACTATGCGAGAGGCCCCGCGTTCGAATCGCGGTAAGACCCCAGCAGCTGATTTTGCAATTCATTATGATGCTCATGATCTTGTTCATACACTCTTGATATCCATCAGCGTGGGGTAAAGCCTGAACATCAACATTTTTTTTGCCACACGAACGTAAGAGAGGTATATCTCCCGAAGACAGTTCAATCAAATTTGGCGTTATCGAAGATGTCGCCATGCGACGCACTAATACATACCCCCAATAGTAAACACAATTCATGCAGATCAAGGTCAATTCTGGATGAAGTCGTTTTAAGTCCATAAATTTTGTCTAGTAAATCTTCGCTTCAAATTTCACACCTCTTGCCGATTCGTCTGTAGCTTCATGTGGCCCCCATATATTTGCTCACAAGAATGTGGGTAACTGCCGGAGACAAATCGTGATGTACAAATTTGGTGCAAATTTGGAAAGTAGATCTTCAGTAAAGGCGTGAGAGATCAAGACACATATGTAGGAAGACATAGGGATGAGCTAAATCTTAATTTTCGCAAAGAAGGGTTTCAAATTGAAGAGTACTGTGCGTATCAAGTCTTCTCTTGCGAAAGCGCAGGCAACTCTGTAAATTCCGCCGTGGCTGGGTGGTATATCATCTGGCCCGGTCTATGACGTAGATTCTGTATGACTTGGACACTTATCCCACATGAATCAGGATGAATGAATGAATATTTAGTCGCGATGGGCATAAGCCTAGCACTCATAGAGCATGACACGGAGGAGGCTAGTCCTTTCCCAACGACTATATACGACGATAACTAATTTTGACATTAGGACTACTAATGTATTGGGTGCACTCGCTGATACCACTCGAGACCTTTGTGCTGGGAACTTTCACCCTCCCTCAACCATTAATATCCACCAAAGGGAAAACAGGAAAAACTTTTGGCTACCCTAGCATGCCTTTGCCATCTCGTATATAGCCGCCGCGCGAAGTATGACCTCACAGTCATCCATTTCTCGGGTTAGGCAGGGGGACTATTCTCAATTCCTGTCAGTGGTGTCCCCTACGAACCTCCAGCTCTCACTGTAGAGTCTGCAGAGCCGAGTTTGAATACCACCGTGCTCACTTTGATGAGAATCCTAATCGCTTCCACGATCTGTATCATCTTCATCTCTCAGCACAATAGCCTACCATCATAATCATGAAACTAACCACCCTTGGTCATGAAGGAGAAGCCATCTGATGAGTTTCCGGAGCGTACCCAGCACCCGATACGCAGATGGTGGATTGGATCAAGTTTGCCTCGAATATTAATCAATTCATTTTATTGTCCTGTCTGAGTCTATGACTATGTAGGAAATGTAGGTCCTCTCTGCCTACAGGCCAAGGATACCTATCCCAGTAGTATATCCCCTCATGTGCCTCCCATACAGCTCCCCTCAAACAGTACTACCCCTTACAAGTCCTCATTCGATCATACACTTAGAGGAGCCCTTAGCCCTTCGTTATCTCCCCTCTCTAACCAACGAAACGATGGCCGTTTGCGGGTGTATGGCAGCCGGGATAAATCGCAAAAACCACTGGGTGCGGGGCTCTCCTGATACCAACACGAGGACTAAATCCGAAGACATAGTGATCCTTCTGAAGCATTCGAAGAGGTCGGCCAGCTGGGCGCTGTAGACTTGTGTGTACCTCGGGAAATCCACACTCTGCCTTTCTAGCCTCATTCCCCAAGGTCGTGCTGAAATGTTAGAAAAGTCTTGACGGAGCGTGATTGCTGTATGGTAGCTTAGCCCAACTACTTTTATGCCGTCCAGGGCGCTAGGGAGTGCCATTGACTCATCGACAATTGAAGTCCTCCTGACTAATTAGCCGAAATCTTGGCCTTGGCGCCCACAAAGAATCCTCAGTTGAAAACTCCTCGAAAATATCGGTCCCAGCATGCTCTCCAGAGACCTATTCCTCCTCTCGCTCCACATCTCAGGCGCCTGTTCTTCCTCAAGTTGTTTGTCCCATTAGAGCAACAGTCCCCCATAAACCAAGACCCCAACTTTGTATATTATGACCTAATTTCCTCCTTGTGGGTATACGTAGCGTCGAAAATTTGTAGTGAGTGATGGCCGGTAATGATTGAGGCAAGATCCTGTTTGCAATTGGGATGACGCCTTTATCGGTCGTCGAAGCGAGATGATGTGTGGTTAGAAAGAGGTTGAAGACTCAGAAGATAATGGTGAGTGCTGCACGATTGAGAAGTCGTCAAATGGAGATATGCATGTGTTTGCTTTCGACTTCGATTCGGTTGCGGTTCTTCTTGGCTATCCCAGATATGCAGAGCATACTGAGCGATTACACCGGCACCACTGGAAGGTGAAGAATTCGTCTTTGCCGGCTGCCTCGAATTTTATAAAGAAGGGAGATATAGATGAATATGCGCACCTCATAAGGTCCCAATGTCTAGGCCTCGCCTGGCAGGGGCTGCAGGTTTCTTGAGACTTTTTCCCGCGCACGCAATTTCCATTGCTACCATTTTATTTTTTTGGGTAGAAGGTCCCGTGGAAAAGGTGGCCGAATTCCACGGGTAAACACTGAGCTGAATGGCTATTCATTACGGACAATATATCAATGATCTTTCAAGTAACAAAAGAAGCAAGGAGCACTGTACAAGGTATGGCCTGGGCCAAAGGGGAGTTCAATGTGCTAGATAGTCTATGACTCAAGAAGTACAATAAACACACCTCTCTTTCTCCCTCGAGCGAGGTAGGTGTCCAGGCTGCCCAGACTTAAATTCGAGGAGATGACGACCAGGAGTCGGACGAAAGTACCTTCCATCATTGCCTTGGCGCCCACAAACGCCCTTAAGTCGAAGACATTCAAAAAATGTGCGTCCCAGCGTGCCAATTTGTGACCTCTTCACTAATTCTTCCCACGTCCCAGCTGCCTGTCCACCTCAAGATGTGAAGCCCCATCCGAGCAGAGGCCCCTCTTAGACCAAGACCCGAGCTTTGTAGATTGTGACTTGGTATCCTCCTCGCTGGTATACTGGCATCATAACTTTATAGTGAGAGATAGCTGTAAGGATTCTCCTCCCTATCTTAACCTTAGTTTATAATTTTCACCTTCTCCTGATGTTGCTATGACAACAGTGCAGTTCTTGGCACTTGGTATTATGTTGATACTAGTTTAAGGCCTTTGTTGTGATAAGCTAGCAGAAGCAAAGCGGGTATACGTATGATGGCTTGGTCTGTAGGTATAATGTTAATCACGCTTGGTTTTCTGTCACACCCAACAACTTCATATCATATCTGATCGCCTTTGGCATCTTTAGTCACCACCAGTATTCGCTCTCTTTTTTTGCATACTAGTATTCGCTCGAACCTTTCGTCTCTCTAGATATTTACATTACCTACAATTCAAACTTTAAGCTGCTCTAAGTGATTTCAAGTGGACCTTCAATTACCTTTCGCCGTCCATCCAACCTCTCTTCCACTATAATTATACCTCAGTCTATACGTCCTCGCTCCAATCTGACAATAGCCGAGTTTCGATGAGGCAAACTCCCGATTGCAATTGGAGTAAAGCTTTATCAGAAGTGAAGGCGAGGTGGCGTGAGAAGGTTGAGGTAGAGGATTCGCTTGGCAAACATAGGTCCAACATTCATCGAAAAGTCGTCGATTTTAGACATGCTTGACGTTGCTTTTGTTGAAATTGGCGCTACTTG